TATGATAATATAGCCTTTGATGATCAGCTGAGAGCATAATTAATGGACATGAATACGTTCATCTTTGCTGATCAACTGTGCTTAAAACCTAATAAAAATAAAAATAAAGTCCCAAGCAGAAGGTACATCTACCTCCCCTCTCTAGCATCCTGGAGGTGGATCTGTGGTAGCAGGTTCTCAGAGGTCTTGATCAGGGAAGAGGTGCCAAATACATCATCTCCAATGTTATCTTTCCATAGTGGACAAGAAAGGCTCAGGGGTGTTTGCAGGGAGGAGCTGCTATATGGAACACACCCAGAAGGAATCCAGCTCCCCACCACTGGAGAGAGTTTTATTTCAAATACTCACAGTATGATTTCCATATTGGAGGCTGGTATTCTTCAGCATCTAGAACAAACAAAAAAAGAAAGAAAGAAATCATTCAGTCAGCATGTTTGTCAAACTGTCAACATTTGTGTTTCCTGGGGGTGAGAGCAAAAGTCTGTCAGCAACACTGCTTTCCAGCCTCAGGGGACTCTGCTCATTTAGGTTACAGTTCCAGGCAGGAGGAGAAGAATGTGCCTGGAAACCTTGTAGACTGAACCTCACTTTCTTCAGATCACTTTCTATGACAGAATCAATTGCTCAATCAATTTTACATAGCCCAGTAAAGCAAAAAAAAAAAAAAAAGTGTGGTTTTTTTTTTTAAAGCAATTTACTTGATTGTTCCCTCTAGTAACCTCTTCAAATAGTATTTACTCAACCTGGCATAATAAACCTCATTTCTCTCACATTTTTCAATCAGATCTTTAGTCCATTTATTATGATTTGATGGGGAAATTAGAAGTGCAAGTATGTAAAATTAATATGGAATGTCAACCAACCCAGCCCACAAAACGTCTAATGTGTGGAGCCTGGCAGCAAGAACAATGATGGTTCAATTGGAATCACGTTATTTCCTTGAATTAACTCCAATGTGTGACTTAGAAAATATCCAGAAATAACCAAATATCCAGAAATATCCAAAATAACCTCTCAACAATCAGAAGTGTCAGAGTAAGAGAGTTATAATAAAAGGGAGAGGACGAAACTGTTATTCATCACTCTAGAAAACAGCTCAGGGAAGGAAGTCTGCTAGTTCAGTTCACTCAACCAAGCTAATGCTAACAACTGAACTTACTCCATGTAGTTATTAGAAACATCCCATGTCACAGATATTTTTAATTTGGTTTTATTATCCTTAAGTGGTTATGGAAAGGGACTTTAGTTCAACATGTTTGTGAGCACAATGCATTTGCTCAATGTCATCCTTCCTTCATTCTCCCATCTCTCCCAACACCACCCAGCCCCTCAAATTTCCTAGCTCCGTTTTCACATATATACATTGAATATGACTATATTCACCCACCCTTCCTCTTCCCACTTATCCACTCCCTCTCTGATCCCTTTTTGATACCACAAGTCCCAGGTTCTTGGTATTCATTTTGTTAAGCTGTATGTTAGTTGTTCAAAAGAGTTTTACCATTGGAATCTTCTCCTGTATATATTATGCTTTAGTTGATATGTTTGTGGATATGTGCATATGTATGTTCGCATATAAATTTATAATTTGGATCTGACTTTTGCAAAAGAGAGAAAACAAGAATCCTTTTCCTCTCTGAACCTGACTTAGTTCGCTTAACATAATTTTTTTCCAAGTCCATCTGTTTCCCTGCAAATGATAATCTTCCTGATGGGTGAGTAAAATTCACATATATGACTATATAACTATAAATACATACATAGATACATGTTTGTATGTATCTATATTTTATAGATCTGTATTTACATAGATATAGGCATATCTATATTTATATCCATATTGATCTATACCTGTATCTATATCTATATTCATATCTATATCTGTATGGAGTTTGCTAGATACATCCAGCCATTGAAAGACATCTGGATGTTTCCACAAGTTGGCTATAGTAAATATACTGCAACAGACACTGTGTATAAATGTCTTTATTGTATCCTGACTTGTAATCTTGGATAAATGCCCAAGAATTGTATAATTGTAATACAGTAAAGTTCTATGTTTAGTTTCCATGTCATGGTTTACAGCTTTGGATATATATATTCTTACCTAGGTAGCAAGGGGAGTTCTTTTCTCAAATTACACAATATGAATCTGGGGAACCTCGAGTTCTCTAATTTAGCAGAAGGAAACTACTGGGTCTCTGCCACTTTCAGACAAAGCAAAGCCTGTCCCTATCTGGGACCCCTATCCTGTGGCTCCTGTTTTGTTAGAACTTTTCTACCTAATGCAGGAAAACGGTTCAGGGACACTTTTCTCTCTGAGAAACAATGATGACATGTGTAAATTAAAACTAATTCAAAAGTGGCAAACTTCCTCCCCAATCTTATTCACTTATACCTGCATAGCTTAAATTATTTTACAAATAATATCTCACTCTCTGGGTTCACATATGACAGCATTCAGCCAAAGCTCTACAAAGGTCATTTTTTACATTTCAACCACATAGGCCCATAGATAAATATGGTGCATTGTGAGTGGCTTGTACTGCTATTCAAGTTCAGATTGCTGAATAAATATGGCCATTAACTCAATACTTTAGTCAGAGTAAGTGAACACAATTTTATAGTAGTGATATTTGAACTAACAATTTCGTCTTCTATGTTATGTGAGCCAATTTTAATGGGAAACAGGAGTTTGGGGTTATAAAAATCATTCAAATAAAAAAAATCAACCTGGTGAGTTTGAAAAAGAAATTCTAGAGCCATTCATCCCAGACTGTTTTGCTAAAGCCAGGTCCTAGATGTTAATATGTGATAGTGATGGTCTCTAGGGGTACAGATTTGTTTTCTCTGCCCATTGAAGAATTAAAAGAAAGGGAAGTGTTTAAAGCAGATGGAGAAAGTTTATTTGAAAGTGAAAGGAAACCACTAAAGAAGAGTCCACGGGAGTCCTCTCACCCCCCGTGGTTCTTCCCATATCCCTTGGGCTTTTCGCTGACTGCTGGATGGCTTGTGTGTGCACTGCCCCAAGTTGTTTCCTTGGTTGAGTGTGCTGCCCCAACTGTTTTCACTGGCTAAGTGAACATCCAGAGCCTCATTGGAGGAACATTTGAGTGTGAATTCACAGAGTTATGGGAAGATAAAGTATTTGATCAGAAGCCTGAGGCATTTTACCTGCTACATATTATGTCCACATTTTTCATTCCTAGCTACCTAACAGTTCCCCCTTTCTTTTCCTAAATGGTATCTTCAAAAATGTATTTTCAATGATAATAAAGATCAACATGCACTCTTGCACACATACACACACAGAGCACATTACACAGGCATGTAAATTCCTGGGACACCATCTTTACAGGCTGCAATGTCTGCCTGAGATTTCAGATGAGATTTGTTTTGTGAGGCAAATACAACCCATCCTCCTAGAAGTGGCCAACATTGTTTAGTACCTTAGCACATTGAGGGGAGGTCCCAAGACAGAGGAGGTGACCTTTTACACACGTCTTTAAATACAGTCCAGGCTCAGCATGGATCTGCTAAGATTTCTTACCTAATATCAGAAACTTACATTAGATGGCCCCTCACTGTCCATTTCAGTTTTGTTCTGAGAAAAAACTCAATTTTCTTTTCTCAGAAGCATTGGTCCTTACCTCGACCTTCATGCTGGTCTCCCTGCATGCTCCATAAAGTCTCTCTTTCCATTTGCTCCCTGTGGGCCACTTGATGCAGAGGCCAAGATAGTTGCCTTTAGAAACCAAGGATGGTAACATTCTTGTGCAAATTCCTCCAGTACCTTCCCTCTGTGATTGGAATGAAGTATGGAGATTTTCCCACCCATGGGGATTTGCATCCTCTGAAGTCTGCCTACCCTTCTCACTCCATGCAATCTTCCCTTTCCCATATTTTATCTAGCCACAGTGTTTTTCCCCCTCTATTCCCCAGACAAGCCATGTGCTTCCAAGTCCCTAGCCTCAGCTACTGTGGGCTCACAAGGTAAATGGGCTCCCCATGTAAAATGCTCCCCCAACATATCTTGATTTGCCTCACTTACTTCATCATAGAGGGCTCAGCCCAAATGTTCCTTCCCAGGCGCTTTCCCTATCAGCCTTGCACAAACTAAATGGCTTTCCCTCTATTTCAGTCCTTCTTCATTGCTTCTATGACTATCTGAAATTATTTATTGATTTATTCATTTGTTACGACTGCTTTTTAAAAACTATTGCTGTTATGCCAGCCCAGGGCCTGGGCACTGTCTCTGAGCTTTGTTGCTCAAGGCTAGCACTCTACCACTTGAACTATAGCTCCACTTCTGACTTTTCCCCCCTTGTTTTTGGTTCTTAACTGGAGATAAGTGTCTCAGTGCTTCCTCACTGGGCTTACTTTGATCCACGATCATTAGATCTTAGCCCCCTGTGTAGGCTAGGACTATGGGTATGCCTCACTGGTGCCCAGCTGTTATGACTGTTTGATCTACTATTTATCAAGCTTCATAAAAATAGGATTTTGCTTCATTTACTTCCATATCACCAATCTTTTAAAAGGGAATATGGCATGTAACAAGTATTAAAAAGTTAAAACATGTTAAATAAATTACTTAATAAATTCCCATGAGTTCAAGGCCTTCCTTGGACAACTATTACTAAGCATCTTGAGATAGATTACTTGGATTATTTTGGCCATACTTGGGTTTGAACTCAAGGTGTCATGCTTGTTAAGCAGATGTCCTACAACAGGAGTCACTATGCCAGTCCCTTTCTGTGTTGGTTATTTTCAAGGTAGAGTCCTGCTTTGGTGCCTGAACTGGCTTAGATAATGTTCTTCCTATTTATGTTTTCCTTCATTGCTGGAATGACAGACCCATACCACTGTGCCCAGTCATTGACTGAAATGGAGCTTTTATGCTTACTTGGCCTTGAATAATGATCCCCTAACTTCAACCTCCCCAGTAGCTAGTATCATAGGAGTGAGCCACCTTGCACAGTAGTTATTAAGGTCTTTTAAGAATAAGACCAAGTAGGTTCTGTCTATTGCCGAGGGTCCTGTAGGGATTAAGTGAGAGAATGCATGTGACCTTCACCAGATAACTCCAAACAAATAGCAGCCTCTGGATGAAGCCCCTTAAGGTGGCTGTACTGGTCTTGCTGAATTGCCATTCCTCTTGGGTGGCCTGTGCTCTTGTCTTTGCTCTCCTGACTATAGCCATTGTCTATCTCTGTTCTTGCCTCCTAGATCTAGAGTTTATCATTAAGCTCCAGTGCTGTTGTCATGGAGGGTTTTTCTTCCCATGAAAGAATTCAAATTGAGAGGCCATTTTCCATGCTTCAGTAGAACGACTATAATTACCTTGGCCTTTGAGACATGCTTCACAAACCAACAAGGCACACTGT